AAAACACGTGAAATAATGGAAATAATATTTTTCCAAATACGTGGAAAGAAGGAAAAATATATTGCCAAATATTCCAACCGAATTTGGGTTTTTCACATATGGTAACCCTAATTTGGGTCACCAATTCCAACACATATTAGGTTGGTTTCCAAGTGTAAGGTTATAACTCATCCATGGCTTAACACTCTGAACATTACTCTAATGTTTCTGATTTTTGAACCTTTACTGTGAATACCATCTGAGGTTCTTTAGATAGCCACTGATGGTTGGATTCTAAAGCTGGCATATGTCCTGGTTCAATTACCCTTTTCCTAATTCTGGTTATTCTCATTTTTTCAGTTATTATTATTGATTGCGACTCTGTTACACTGAGATTGTCTGCTGACATCTGCAATTCTTTCTGCTTTTCTGTTGAGTTATTTTAATTCCTCTGCAGATTCTGCCAGAGAAGATGCTGGATTTTCTTGACGCTCCTGTTCCTTTCATTGTGAGTACTTTTTTCTTCATTTACTGGCACACGGGGTTAGTGTAATCTGCATTATCTAATAATTACCCAGTAACTTCTATATTTATTGTATGGTGAAAATCTCGGGAACGTTAAGTATTTGAAGTAATAGGTGGTGTATGCAGTATGAGAGGGTTCAGCCACTGTTGGGGTCTAGGAAGGGGTAGAGGTGCAGAACGGTACCCATGCAAGAGGGGAGGTTGTTTTTGAAGTAATACAGATGCTTGTGAAATTAGATAGTATGCTGGATTTTTGTGGAAACAATTCTCCATTCCCTGGTGGGGCTCCACTTTGTCAAGGACAAATTGTGGATTTACAGCCTGTGGCCACTGTTACCCCACCTTCTCTATTGACATGTGAAAATTCTTATTTAACTGGAGCAAATTAACATATTCAGACAAGACTTCTAGTATGAACTATGAAGTTTATAGACGCGTGTTGCACATGCACATATGCAGAATACAATCCCCAAAATAAATCTGACCCTGAGTGATAAATTTGCTTGTGTATATGCCTACTACTCTGATAAGCTTTGATATAAACCACCACATCCAACATATCTTTCAGACTTTCATGAACGTCTAGTACTCGGCTGAACCAACAGCTTGCTCAAGCTGTCAAGCATGGATCAGTTAAGTATAACCTGTAATGAATATCCAAGTGTAACTTGTTTGGTATCATAAAACATTTTTCTAGTTAGCCAACTTTCCTTTTTATTCTTTCCCAATTACAATCCTTCACTACACAGCTTAATGTCTACCTGGCTGGCTGGCTGGCTTTTTATTAAATGTTTTCCTTTTCGTTTTTGAAGATACCCATCCATCTTATTACAAAATAAAGTATCTGTCTGCAGAAGCTGAAAATTTGCTATTCTTGTACTTCTAAGAAGGAATCAGAAAATATGATTTTGTTTATAATGTCGCTCCAATTACTATGCAGGTTGGCATACAGGATAAACTAGCTGATCTGAAGATGAAAACTTCTAATCTGGTTCATGTTAATGTGGTTAAAGATCAGGTTTGTTAGTTTAATGCATTTTGAATTTCTTTAAAATTTCAGGTAGATTTATCTTGTTTTTAGGGAACACCTTTCCCTTTTCAATAAATTCAACATTATAGGTAAATGTCAAACTATGTATCTGTATGTGTACATGCTAATGTGATCAATTAGGTTATACTATATTCAAGCGTCTTTGGAATTAGGAGAAGATTCATCTCTTTCCCAGCAAGCACATTTTCCTTGTTTAACGAAGGTTGTGGGTAAATCCCAACTATATATTTAGAGAATGCACTCCCTCCTCTTCCCATCCCCAAAGATCATAAATTAAAAAGATGAGAATGGAAAAAAAAAAAAAAAAGAAGAAGAAACTAATATGCAGTTTATATTGTCTGCGATTACTTATTTAAACCTTGTTTGTTGTAGATTAAAAAATCTCAAGTCAAAGTTAACAATTAATTTTAACCACACATTTTATGGGCCCCACAACTTTTCAACCACACATTTCATATCAAATTATACTAAAAATCTTATTTTAATCTACGTCAAATACGAGCTTAACTTAAGAAGCTTATTTCGTGTAATAAACGTGTACAAGCTTGGAGTCTGCAAACCTTTGATGTCCATAAGATGAATGTAGCGGAAATGAGGATGCTGAGTGTGTGTTTGAGCCACATTATTTTGGAAAAATACATTTTGGAATA